GATTCCTCGCGAAACGACGAATTCTGTAGACGAGATCAGCCAGCCTTTTTCAATGCTGGAACTCTCACTCGCGCTCCTTTCGTGTGGCAATTCGGCTCCGGGGGCTGATAGAATCAAGTTCAACTTGTTGAAGAACCTCCCAGACGTCGCTAAGAGGCGCATGTTGAACTTGTTTTGTCAGTTCCTGGAGTTCAATATTGTTCCAGATGATTGGAGGCGAGTGAGAGTTATAGCCATTAAAAAGCCTGGAAAACCGGCTTCAGATCATAACTCGTATCGTCCCATCGTGATGTTATCGTGCATTCGAAAATTGTTGGAGAAAATGATCCTTTTTCGCTTGGACAAATGGGTTGAGACGAACCACCTACTCTCAGATACTCAATTTGGATTCCGTAGGGGCAAGGGAACGAACGACTGTCTCGCGTTGCTTTCCACAGAAATTCAGTTGGCTTTTGCTAAAAAAGAGCAAATGGCTTCTGTTTTCTTGGATATCAAGGGGGCTTTTGATTCAGTATCCGTTGAAGTCCTTTCAGACAAACTCCACGCTTGTGGCCTTTCTCCATTAATAAATAACTTTTTGTACAATTTGCTGTCAGAGAAACATATGAGCTTTTCTCATGGAAACTCTACAGCTTCTCGATTTAGTTACGTGGGTCTTCCCCAGGGCTCATGTTTAAGCCCTCTTTTGTATAATTTCTACGTCAGAGAAATTGACAATTGTCTAAGTGACAACTGCACGTTGAGACAACTTGCAGATGACGGCGTAGTGTCTATGACAGGGCCCAAAGGGGTCGACCTGCAAGGACCCTTACAGGATACCTTAGACAATTTGTCTACTTGGGCTATTCAGCTAGGTATCGAATTCTCCACGGAGAAAACTGAGTTGGTCGTTTTTTCTAGGAAGCATAGCCCAGCACAACCAAAGCTTCAACTTTTGGGTAAACCGATCACTCATTCTATGTCCTTCAAATATCTTGGGGTCTGGTTCGATTCAAAATGCACCTGGAGATCCCACATTGAGTATCTGAGACGAAAATGCCAACAAAGGATCAATTTTCTCCGAACAATTACCGGAACGTGGTGGGGAGCCCATCCGCAAGATCTTCTAACGTTGTACCGGACAACGATTTTATCGGTTTTAGAATACGGTAGTTTTTGTTTCCAGTCGGCGGCTAAAACTCACATCATCAAACTGGAACGTATCCAGTATCGTTGTCTTCGTATCGCGTTAGGATGCATGCACTCGACTCATACGATGAGTCTAGAAGTGTTGGCGGGCATGTTGCCACTATCGGATCGGTTCTCGGAATTGTCCCTCAGGCTCCTCACCCGTTGCGAAGTTATGAACCCACTGGTAATCGAAAACTTTGAAAAGCTTCTTGAGCTGAACCCTCAAACTCGTTTTATGTCATTGTACTACGTGTACATAACACAGGATGTCAGCCCTTCACAGCATAATCCTCATCGTGTATGCTTCTCCGACTTCGGCAATTCAGTTAGTTTTGATTTATTTATGACGCGGGAGATTCGTGGAATCCCAGAACATCATCGTTCCATGATTGTTCCGTCAATTTACGCTGCAAAGTTTGGCCAAGTTGATTCCGCAAGATCGTTCTTCACAGATGGATCACCAATAGAGTCGTCCGCTGGTTTTGGTATTTTTAACGAATTTCATAGCGCCTCTCGAATGCTTCAAGCTCCTTGTTCCGTATATGTTGCTGAACTGGCGGCAATACACTATACGCTAGAAACGATCGCCTCACTTGCACCAGATCATTATTTTATTTTTACGGATAGTCTCAGTTCTGTCGAGGCTATTCGCTCTATGAGGCCGGTAAAGCACTCCTCGTATTTTCTCATGAAAATACGAGAGCTTTTAAGTGCTTTATCTTTAAGATCTTTTGTCATCACCTTTGCATGGGTCCCATCTGATTGCTCGATTCCGGGCAATGAGATGGCTGACTCACTTGCTAAGGTGGGCGCTATGGAAGGCGATATTTACGATCGAAAATCGCCTACGATGAATTTTTCTTCATTTATCGTCAACAGTCACTCGTCAGCTGGCAGAATAAGTGGAGTGAAGGGAGTTTGGGACGATGGCTATATTCGATCATCCCTAAGGTGTCGAAGAGTTCTTGGTTCAAGGGGTTGGATGTGGGTCGAGACTTCATTCGTATGATGTCTCGCCTCATGTCCAATAACTATTCGTTAAACGCTCACTTGTTCCGTGTTGGGCTGAAGGACAGCAATCTCTGTGAATGTGGACAAGGTTACCAGGACGCAGATCACATTATTTGGTCTTGTGCTGAGCATCGCGGAGTCAGATCTGAACTGTACGATTCCCTTCGGGCTCGAGGTAGACAACCTAATGTTCCAGTTCGGGATATTTTGGCTAGACGTGATCTGGGAGTTTATGAAACTCATATATGTTTACTTTAAGAATATTAACATTAGATTGTAAGTTTTATTAACCTTGTGTTTAGTTTGTATTTTGTACGTGTGGGTTTTTTTATGTTTGTTTTCAAGATGAATAGAAATTAGTTCATGTTTTAGGATTAATTAAATATTTGTATCGTAAACCACATTTCAAACCTCCCTCTCCCTTTTCCCATCCAAAAAAAATTGTAAATCCCCACTAACCTCGAGACAACCGCGAGTATCCGGTCCAGCTCCTTTAACTTTAAATATAAGAAATCAATAATGTATAACAAAAATGATAACTCGGCTCTGTAAAGTTTATTCGATTGAGCCTGTACAAATAATGTAATTAATAAAAAAAAATGTGACGCTCCATTTATGTGCATCATATTGAACAGAAATTTACGCTACTTTTTTTAACTGTGTAGGTGTCCGACATTCTATTAGTTTTAAACACGAGGTAAACAGAGAGAGATCCGTCCTACAGTCATCAGTTCAATGATATGAGTAATTCGATCAAACTGACTGACTACACACACTCAGAATTTTTTTTCACTTAGATGTTACATGAAAACATACATAGATTTTTTTCCATCTAGTTTTTCACGTAAATTTTACGTTCTTCACATGTGGATCGGTTTGAAAGTTCTAATTTCAATCCACATACAACTCTTATGTGGACCGTACACGATTGCTTTTATTGACAATAATCGTATTGTCAATACATTCAATATTGACGTCAATACATCGGTATTGACAATATTTCTGTATTCACATCATCAATATTAATGTCAATAATTCCCCTTCGCGTCAATATATTGATACGTGTGGGGTTTACTTTATAGGAAGTATAGGCTTTGGAAGTAAATTTCACTTTATTTTCATGTATCATCTAAGTGAAAATTAATCAATGTGAAAAGATCTTTGCCCAATCCACTAAAAAACAACATAGATTTTATGGTATTTTTCAAGTAAATTTTATTATGTATTCACTTAAATTTTAGTAAATTTCTTCGTTGCCACGTGGCTTTTTGATCCTTCGATGTCGGCTCTTCCTATCATTGTGAAGCAAAATTCACAAAGCGTAGGATTGTTCACCCTTTCAAGGGAACGTGAGCTGGGTTTAGACCGTCGTGAGACAGGTTAGTTTTACCCTCCTGGTGTGCGATATTGTTGCGCTATCTTAACGGAATTGCTGTGCAGTACGAGAGGAACCACAGCTACGAAGGCCGGGTAAAGCAGGTGCATAAGAACGCCTATCAATGGTTGTTGGGTTCTGCCCTGACCGGCGATTTGCGACCTCTGTGCACCTGAACTCCGATTCTTACCTCCACGCGGTGCCCGGTGGGGTTGCTGGCGGTGATATTTGCCGTCAGTAATGCGAACAAGAACGGGGGATCATCGTTGTCACCAAAGCACTTCTGTCAATTATCGGTAGTGCCCGTGATGACGATGACAGAGCAATAAGGTTATTGCCAACTCTCGAAGTAGCCCAAGATTATCGCTACCTGGGGATGCTAACCGGCTCGGTCTGGTTACGACTTGGCCGTCCTGAATGAACTATATCCACCTTTTCAAGGTGGATTGTTTAAAAGGACGTTAATAGATGGAAGCACAGCTACGAAGCCGGGTAAAGCAGGTGCATAAGAACGCCTATCAATGGTTGTTGGGTTCTGCCCTGACCGGCGATTTGCGACCTCTGTGCACCTGAACTCCGATTCTTACCTCCACGCGGTGCCCGGTGGGGTTGCTGGCGGTGATATTTGCCGTCAGTAATGCGAACAAGAACGGGGGATCATCGTTGTCACCAAAGCACTTCTGTCAATTATCGGTAGTGCCCGTGATGACGATGACAGAGCAATAAGGTTATTGCCAACTCTCGAAGTAGCCCAAGATTATCGCTACCTGGGGATGCTAACCGGCTCGGTCTGGTTACGACTTGGCCGTCCTGAATGAACTATATCCACCTTTTCAAGGTGGATTGTTTAAAAGGACGTTAATAGATGGAAGCACAGCTACGAAGCCGGGTAAAGCAGGTGCATAAGAACGCCTATCAATGGTTGTTGGGTTCTGCCCTGACCGGCGATTTGCGACCTCTGTGCACCTGAACTCCGATTCTTACCTCCACGCGGTGCCCGGTGGGGTTGCTGGCGGTGATATTTGCCGTCAGTAATGCGAACAAGAACGGGGGATCATCGTTGTCACCAAAGCACTACTGTCAATACATCGGTAGTGCCCGTGATGACGATGACAGAGCAAAAAGGTTATAGCCAACTCTAAGTAGCCTGTGATTATCGCTACCTGGGGATGCTAACCGGCTGGGTCTGGTTACGACTTGGCCGTCCTGAATGAACTATATCCACCTTTTCAAGGTGGTTTGTTTAAAAGGACGTTAATAGATGGAAGCACAGCTACGAACCAATGGCTCAATACTAGTTCGACCGGACTTTGGTATAACGCTACGTTCGTTGGATTATGCCTGAACGCCTCTAAGGTCGTAACCAAACCGAGCTGATAGTGTCCCCCATAGGTGGTCGGTGATCATGTGGCAAAAAACCTACAAGACGTTGGCATCTTATTGCATGCACGCAGACAAAGCCCTTGCGCGCGGCGTCGTACAGCAAGTATCTGGGATACTGGAACGCTGGTGGCGCTGCTCAGCATCAATATATGATTTCGATACCTGAGACCTCCTACAAACGATAGGTTTACAGGCTGGGAGTTGCGAGTTGCAGAGAGGTGTACATTTCGATCCTCTCAGACTACCCTTGGGGTGTGAAGTTGTTCGCCTCCCCGTGGTGCACCCTGGAAACGATGGACCACCAGTGCTGCGGTACTGATCCAGTCGGCTAATCGAACAACAAACGAGGGGAAGCGCCGGAAGGTGCCTTGCGATCGATGTCAGTAAGATCGCAAGTATGTATACTGACACACTGGCATTATGTAGGACACTGAGTGGAAACTTACCATAAACCACGCTACGGGCTGGCACTCAAGGTATTTCATTCTCTTAGTAGAGTCGGGTGGAACCGGCCGAAACGACGTTTGAGCTAATGCCTTGTTTGTCTCCGTCCCATAAAACCCTGGCAGGCCTTAGAATACGTTCCTCCCGTGCCACCCAGTTGGGGCTGCGGTGGGAATAGGTTCGGTTGAGTTATTCCCGTCTTACGCGATCCGGCTCTGAACATAACGCCCCATGAAGGCCTATGTCAACCCTCGCCATGGACCTCACTGCTCGCATAGGCACCCATGGGGATCAATCAGCGACTATTCCATTTACACGGTAGGATAGCGGTCTAAGGGGGACCCAACAGTCGGGATGATTTCAAACAATCATCAACAAAACCAAAAACCCCAAACCCCAGTTGAACAAGTCGCCGAGGAGGCGACCGCGAACCCGTTCGCGAAGGGAGGTCTACCCAGATCTCCTGAACACAGAGAGCCGAACAAACGGTCGAAATCTCCGCGCGATGCAGAGACAACGGCCGGGATCGGTGGACAGCCGGAAGAGCAGCCGAAGGACTGGCCCGGGCTAATCAGAACTATGAATAGCTTTGGGCCCCTCCCTAGGCTGCTGGCAATCGCGGGACAACTCGACGCCATAATTGAGTTCACGAGTACGAAGAGCAACATCGCGAAGGACCTAAAGCAGGCCTTGCGACAGCTCCGTGCAACCGTGAACGAGGCCCAGGACGACCACGAGCGGCTCAGGAAGCGACTAGAGGTCGCAGAGAGGGCGGAACAGAAGGAACCGAAGTCTACCCAGACGGACGCCTTCAACTTCGCGGGCAACAATACGATGTCCAGCGAGGCCCTCCACTTTGCCGTTACGCAGGGACAGAAGCGTAATCGACCCTCACCTTCGCCAGTAAAGGGCGCAGCACGCCCTAAGAGACGGAAAGTCTCTGTGCAGGTGGAGAGTGCGGCGGTTGCCCATCAGTCCAATGCTTCAGTGGACGTACCGAAGAAGAGGGCTGGAATAGCCAATAGAAATACTGAGAAACCTAGCGGCTCCAAGGGCGGGAAGCAGGGCGGTAAGAAGGGTACCCCCCCGAAACCCCCGAAACCCCCGAAACCCCCGGACAAAACTGCCCCCAAGAGCAGTGCTGCCCGGACCAGGAACAAGGGCGAAGCTCTCATCTTCAAGACGGACGCGTCGAAATACGCGGAAGTCTTGAAGAAAATGAGAACGGACGAGCGCCTTGTGGAGATGGGCAGTAACGTGAGGAGCATCAGGCGCACTCGTACAGGCGAGATGCTCCTGGTGCTCAAACGTGGTGCTAAGGACCAGGGACCAACCTACCAGAAACTGGCAAAGGAGGTTGTTGGTTCTGGGGTGCAGGTGAAGTCGCTAGGCTCGACTATCACCATCCAGGTCAAGGACCTGGACGAAGTGACGGAGGCGACCGAGATAGTCACGGCGCTCCGGGAACAGTGCCAAGTCGAGGTACCGCAATCAGCGATTACCTTGAGGAAGGGACTGTTCTCCACCCAAGTGGCTACCATCAGGCTCTCTGCAGCTGAGGCCAGAAAGGCGGTAGCCGCAGGGAGGGTGCGAGTGGGCTGGTCGGTCTGCCCCGTCAGTATTCCCCGACCGGTGACGGCTTGCTTTAGGTGCTTCGGTCAGGGCCATGTGGCCCGTGACTGTAAGAACACCGACAGGAGCAAGCTTTGCAGATGGTGCGGCTTGGAGGGCCATAAGGCGCGAGGTTGCCAAAAGCCGCCGAGGTGCACTATATGCGCGGAGAAGGGGAATACCCCTACCAACCACATGGCAGGTGGCCCCCGCTGCCCGGGGTCCAAGAGCAATGCTGCTAAGGCAAAGAGCAATGCTCAGCCATGTTCGAGGTAGCGCAGTTGAACCTGAACCACTGTTCGGCTGCCCAGCAACTGCTGTGGCAATCGGCAGTGGAATGGGGAGCGGATGTCGCAATCATCTCTGACCCGTACCGCGTCCCAACCGGCAACGGGAATTGGGTCACGGACGCGTCGGGGATGGCGGCGATATGCACGATGGGGAGCTTCCCCATTCAGGAGGTAGTCGTGTCCAACTCGAGCGAGGGATTCGTGATCGCCAGGGTTAACGGAGTATACTTAAGTAGCTGCTATGCTCCGCCCAGGTGGTCTATCGAGCAATTCTCGCAGATGGTGGACAGACTGACTGCGGTACTTGTCGGCCTAAGACCGGTGGTCATTGCGGGCGACTTTAACGCATGGGCGGTAGAGTGGGGTAGCCACCACACCAACCAGAGAGGATGCATTCTACTGGAGGCAATGGCCAAGCTGGACGTTGTACTATCCAACACCGGCTCGGTCAGTACCTACAGAAGGAATGGTGCAGAATCCGTCATCGACGTGACATACTGCAGCCCGAGTTTGGAGGGCAACCTACACTGGAGGGTCGATGAGGGTTACACTCATAGTGACCATCAGGCGATTCGGTACAGTGTGGGGCCAGGTGAGAGGCGAGTGGCAGGAGGAAATTCTTCCTGCGCTCGAGGCTGGCGGACGTCGTTCTTCGAGGAGGAGGTCTTCGGCGAAGCACTGAGGCGGGAGCGAACAACCCCGGATCTGACGGGGGAAGAACTGGTAGCAGCACTGACAAGGGCGTGCGATACAACCATGCCTAGGAGAGCCTATCCCAGGCATGGCCACAGACCGGTGTACTGGTGGAGCGAGTCGATTGCTATCCTCAGGGCGTCTTGCCTCCAGGCGAGAAGGAGGATGCAACGAGCTCGTACGACTGAATCTCGCGAGGAACGCCGCGTCGCTCTCCGAGCGGCTAAGGCAGCCCTCAATAAAGAGATCGCCAGACGCAAGCGCGCGTGCTTTGACAGCCTATGCCAAAGCGCCAACACGAACCCATGGGGGGATGCTTACAAAGTGGTCATGGCAAAGACCCGCGGCGTGACGGCACCCCCAGAGAGATCACCAGCGGTACTGGCTCCGATCGTTGGGTTCCTGTTCCCGCGTAGGGACGTAGACTCCTGGCCGCGGATCCCAGGCGCGGATCAGGGAGAAGTGTCTAGAGTGACGAACAGTGAACTTGGCGGTATTGCCAGGTCGCTGGTGGTGGGCAAGGCCCCGGGCCCAGATGGGATCCCGGTTGTGGCTCTGAGGGCGGCCGTTGCGGAAAATCCAGACATGTTCCGTTCTGTTTTTCAGACTTGTCTGGACGTAGGCGTCTTCCCAGACGCGTGGAAGCGGCAGAAGCTGGTGCTGCTTCCGAAGCCAGGAAAACCCCCTGGGGACCCGTCAGCATACAGACCCATCTGTTTGCTGGACACCACTGGGAAACTGCTTGAGAGGGTCATCCTCAACAGGCTGTCGGCCTACACCGAAGGTGTAGACGGCCTGTCAAGCAGCCAGTACGGGTTCCGAAAGGGCAGATCCACGGTGGACGCCATCCGCGACGTCATCCAGACGGCAGAGGTGGTCCATCGGAAACGAAGGGGCATTCGCTACTGCGCGGTGCTAACCTTAGACGTGAAGAACGCGTTCAACAGCGCGTGCTGGGGGGCGATAGCCCGCTCGCTACACCAGCTCCAAATTCCCGGAGGGCTGTATAAGATTCTGGAAAGCTACTTCCAGAATCGTGTGTTGACGTACGACACAGAAGATGGCGAAAAATGCGTTAGAGTCACCGCAGGTGTGCCACAAGGCTCCATCCTGGGCCCGGTGTTATGGAACGTCATGTACGATGGACTGTTGAGGATAAAATTCCCGGTAGGCGTGAAAATTGTAGGTTTTGCCGACGATGTCACGCTGGTAGTCTGCGGGGAATCCCTCGAGGAGGTAGAGCTGACAGCGGCCCACTGCGTCAGGCTTGTGGAGGAATGGATGAGAACCAGGAAACTGGAGCTCGCCCATCACAAGACGGAAGTGGTCGTAGTCAACAATCGCATGTCAGTACAGCATGCAACGTTGACAGTCGGCGGAAGCACAATTAGGTCTGTGCGCTCTCTAAAACTCTTGGGGGTTATGCTCGACGATAAGCTCAGCTTCGGCTGCCACGTCGAGTACGCCTGCAAGAGAGCGTCTATGGCTGTGGGGGCATTATCCCGTATGATGTCAAACAGCTCGGCAGTGAATGCCAGTAAGCGCAGGCTCCTCGCTGGGGTCGTAGTATCTATCCTCAGATACGGCGGCCCTGCGTGGGCTGCGGTACTGGATATTGACTGCCACAGGCAGAAATTAGAGAGTACACACAGGCTAATGTGCTTAAGGGTGGCCAGTGCATACCGCACTATCTCGAGAGAGGCCGTCTGTGTCATAGCAGGGATGATGCCAATCAGCCTTATCATTAAGGAGGATGTGGCGTGTTATGACGCGAGGACCGTTCGAGGGGTGCGCAACAACGCGCGAGTTGTGTCGACCGCGAGATGGCAATTGGAGTGGGAAAACTCCACAAAGGGGAGGTGGACTTACCGCTTGATACCTTCCGTATCAAGCTGGGTCAACAGGCGCCATGGGGAAGTAAACTTCCACCTGACACAGTTCCTGTCAGGCCATGGCTGCTTTAGGAGCTACCTGCATAGGTTCGGACATGCAAGTACTCCCACCTGCCCCACATGTGCTGGTGTCGAGGAGACCGCCGAACACGTCGTGTTTGCCTGTCCACGTTTCGAGCCAGTATCGAGCGCTATGCTAGCGATATGCGGAGCGGATACCAGTCCGGACAACATCGTTCATAGGATGTGTGGTACCACCGAGAACTGGAGCGCGGTGGTGACTGCGGTCACCCACATAGTTTCGGTATTACAACGACAGTGGCGAGCCGAGCAGCAGTTACCTACTGCCCGACCAGATCGTTAGAGTATTGCTAGAGAGGCGCCATAGCGCTACAGCGGCCCCTCCCACGAAGTAATGCCTTCGGGCGGTTCCGGGGAGGCCAAGGGCCAAGCGCACAGGGTAAGGTTTAGTGGGTCGGGAGTGAAATTCTCCCATCCCCACACCCTGAGTTCCTTCTCAGGTGTCTGTGAGCAGATTCCCCCCTGTATAAAAAAAAAAAAAAAAAAAAAAAAAAAAAAGACTACCCTTGCTTGGAGGTTGCGCGCCCCCCACGGCCCACGAAGTGTGTTGTGTGCTGGTGGTGGCGGCGGCGCGCGAGTGCGGTGCGGTGGTTATCATCCGGCCGCGCGCTCATCATCATCATGGTGGTGAGCGCGCGCGTCCGTCGAGACGTGTGTGTGTTGTGTATGAGAAGAGAAGTCCCCATCATGGCCTTGGTTATAGGCCTTGGTATGTGGACTTCTCTTTTCTGCATTAAGTCCCCTGGCGCCTAAAAGTATGCAATCAATAGTCAATAGTCAAACACTCAGGCGAGGCGAGAGAAGTCCCCATCAAGTTTGCCTTGGTTTGGTTTGGGTGGACTTCTCTTCTTTATTTTTTTTCTTGTAACAATTCCTTTGCACACAAGAAGGTACGTACGTACACTCACTACCTTGGGTTGGGTGGACTTTGTAACCGAAATTCAATTCAAACATCCAACTAAGAAAACGGCGCCGGTGGTGTAGTGGTAAGCGTGATTACCTCTCACCCCAGCAGGCCTGGGTTCAATCCCAGTCGGCGCCGCCGGGATGTTCTGAGGCATAACATCTCTGATCACGCCTTCCTTCGGATGGGAAGTAAAGCCGTTGGTCCCCGGTTCATGAGTTGATGGGTCGATAGGTAGGGTCCAGGTGTGGGAGCTGCCTTCCTGGCACGTCGGTAGCATTGGTGCTCAGCACGGAAAACAAGATCGACGGAAAAAACAAACCAAAGGAAAAAAAAAATCCAACTAAAATGCAAAAAAAAAAAAATGTAACCGTTCGTGAAATTTCGCTGAGGTTTTGATTTAACTCAGTGGCTTAAGCGCCACTCTCTATTAAGAGAGACCACTGGTCGTGTTAAAGCTTTGCCCGACAAATGAGACTTTTCTCTCAGAGGACCTCTTGAACGGTCGTTGGTTACTAACGGCAATGAAAAAAACTATTAACTTTCTGGAAATGCCAAGTCCTTCAGTAATACAGGAATGGAGCGCATGAACCAAATAAATAAACCAAAGGTATTACTCTGACTCACCCCCGAAACGAAACGGAAAGAGAACGAAAGAATGCTGAATCAACTGAGCGGAAACGAAAGAAAACAGAACGTAACGTAGTAAGTGTGTTTTATTCAGGGAGTAGCATTCAAAACGTTCGAAAAACTAATCTTCAACTTTTTCTTTAAACTATATTCTAGCATTCATTCGCATTGGATTTCTGAGAGGGGTTTACAGGAAAGAGCAAATCATGGCCATGAATTAACGTAAAACGTTACAACTTCTCTTTACACACTACATCAAGCAAGTCCACAGGGGGAAGACAGGTACCCAGTCAGTCCGTAGGGTGAGCCATGGCGCAAGACCCGGGGTAGAGTGTACAGTCAGTCAGTCAGTAAGGCTCGTCGGCCAAACTGCTTCCTCTCGCCGGATTACCGGGGCTACTTTTGGACCAAAAAGTACCTATAGGGAGGGTAGTATGAGCTGAGCTTCGAGTGGATTGCCATTATTGTTAGGAATTATAAAATTATTTTTCAAAATAATAAAAATTGTATTGTTCAGCTGATCGAATGACCAAATGGTTTGGATGATACCCCAAACACGTCGTTAAGCAAAATAACCATAACAATTTTATTATGGATGTCTTATGTGTTCCAGCAACCTCTGGCCAGCTGCACTTCCTCTGCCAATCTTTCGGGGTTTGTTTGTACCACTCAAACATTTTCATACATTAAATTCATGTAGAATCTAAGTGAAATTATCTTACATGAAATGCAGCTGAAATATATATTCATCTAAGTTTCAAAGCGTCTTACATTGCTTTTAATACGGTTTGTAATAAATTTTATTAACGTCATATACTTTACAGACAATTTTTAATATTCGAAGGTTACGTGTTTTTTCCAGTGAAATTTATGTGACAATTGTTTTGAGGTTTTGAACCGAGGGGCATGCACTTCCAGGTATGAGTGCGTGATATTTCATCGTGGTAATTTAAATACTTTGAAGACAGTAAAATTTTTAATAAATTAAGCAGTATTGAAAGTAATCAACAATTAATTGACATCAATTTGAGTAATGCAAAATCATTTAAATCTATGAAAAATAATTGAAATCTAAATTTTTGACAGTGATTAAAGTATTTAATGAAATTAAGAGTGTATTTAAAGTAATGAAGGCAGTAATGACAAGATTTTAAATATTTGGTCAGCATTGAAAGATCATTGCAGTATTGAAAGATTAGTGCGTGCCGCTCGTTTTGAACATTTTTCAAGATTACTAAGGCTGGGTTCCAATGGTGAATTTTCATTTAAATTTGAGAGATGTAAAAATTTCAAATAAACCTGCTATTCCAGCAGACTTATTTCTGACCGATCAGGAATCAATCTTGACAAATACCTTCTCAATAATCGGACGATCAACCACAGAACACTATAATTTATTTTCAAAGTGTAAAGTCTAAGTGAAAATTCAAGTGAAAAGTGAAAAATCGGTAGTTTTGAACCTTTCGTCTGTGAATCGGTAGGCATCTCAAAAATCGGTAGGACTACCGATAAATCGGTAGGTCTGGCCACCCTGGGCGTGAAGCCTCGTTCGTCTCGGAACGTGCTGGTGTGCTAGTATGTTTGTGCATTTCACAAACGTCAGAGAAGTCTATATAGCATATGCTATATAGACTTCTCTGCCGTTTGTGAAATGCACAAGTGTTAGTGCAGAACTCGGGGTAAATTATAAGTATTAGTGAAAGGAAACCTTTGAATTTACCCAAAGTTCTGCACTAATACTTGTGCAATTCACAAACGTCAGAGAAGTCTATAATCGCATATGATAAACGAAGAACCAAGAGCTATGGTTAATTCGCTACGGATTGTCTACCATATCCCACATGTGGAAGTGCATCTAGAACTCGATCTAGAACACTAAGTTGAGAACACGCAATAAGTTAATATGCGATTGGCGTCTTGCAGGGAAACTTTTCCAAGTTTTCGCCATCTACATTTCTAAGTGAGAACTACTAGAAGGAGGATAGTTCCAAATTCTCCAAGTAAAACAGACGATTTTTGGGGCAAATCGGTACATAAAGAAAAACTAATAATATCCGGTGGATACTTTTGCTTGAATCGTGTAAGAAAACGTGTATGGATCGGAGATGTTTTCATGGAAAATAACAAGTTTGCACCCACAGCTAGAGGTTACCTCCTGCGCAGCTGCATTTTTCGGAAAATGGTGAATATGTGCGATTTCCACTAGGATGAAAGTGGAAATTAAGTGAATTTACTTAGGAAAGATTGTATCATGCTGGTGATAAAGGACGCTAATATTCGATAAATGTTCATTTTAGTCTTTTTTAGGTAAACATATTGATACTCACAATTTTCGACGGAAAACGCAACGGAACTTGCTTTACTCAACACGCACCATACTATAAAATGGTGCTTGATGGTTTATAAAGTGATAACAAGATGATAAATCATTTTTATTTTGAGTAATTGAGCAATCTACTTTGGTTTACATCATATGTACGATAGTGCATTGATGGAGCTGTGAAATGAAATGAATATATCTTATGAAAGTTTATCTGGAAAAGTCAAAGATGCACATCAGTCTGATCGTGAAAACATTTTCTTCTTCAATTCGAATGTTATATTGGAAGGATTTTACGCAGGCTTGATGATAATTATGATTTAGTGCTAATTTTCACGAATTTTATATGCAATCTGTCAACATTATCATCATCATGCAGTGGCGACATTTGCGTCGAGCTTTTACGGCAATCTACCAATAAGCAATTAATCATGTTTTGTTTTTTTTTTGACATCATCCACATCCAGAGGGCCAGTCACTTTCGAATGTATGAGATGCACAAAAAATGCACGAGTACATTACTATGGTCATAAGGTAAACACTCATTTATTTTTTTCCTACTGTGAAAGCATGTTTAGTCACAAATTGTGGATTTTCTGATATTCTCCATACTGCAAAAATGATTTTCCTACCACTGAAGGGGCGACATCTCTTGGGTCTTCAGTATAGCTACTACTCAATATAATTAATTGACGAATCCAACTTAAACTCATGCGCGCCTAGTGACAGGAATAAGCACTACCCAACGGTGATCAGTTGCAATTCCCATGCTAAGGTTATGGACATGGTTATGTTAACAGCCATACCACATCGATTCAAATTTAATAAAAATAGATGAGCCCCTTGTAAAATGTATTCCAATGGCTGGCACCCAATGCTGGCTGTTGTTTTAATCTAGTAGGATTGTATTCGGATACGATTTGCAGCCATCAATTGAATTATGCAGGAATTTGGTTGGTTTGATAATGTTTGCTCCACGATTTTTTTTTTATTTCAATAAATTAGCAATAGTTACCATTCTGATCAACGCTACTTTTTTTAAAAGGTTAGTTTGCCTTGCCTGCATCCCGATTGTCCAACCTTGGTCAGTGTCTCTACTGCCAGATCTTTCCGCTCGGTTCCAACGAATTCACATGGGCAATCCGCTGGCTTTGTTTTTCTTCGAGGATGTCATAGAAGAAAGGGTTTCCTTTCGGTTATATTCCTGGGGATAAGGCAAACTATTCAATGCCATCTGCGACACAGTTGTTGTCCCGCTCATCTGAACCTACCAAACCAGGCGTGATTTATTCCTAATGGTTTCGCAGCGGGTCCAGCTGCAGGGAAGATGATCCTCCTGCGGATGGAACAATATATTGTTTTGATTGCTTCAAAATGTAAAATTTTTCTAATAACTCACCTCAAACAGCAAAATTAATCGATATAATTTTTTATATCTGATGGTATGATCCTGTGGGATGGCATTCTCAGTTTAAATCCTGTAAAAATATTGCTAATTTGTAGATGTCATGATTTTCATTTTGAAGAAATCTCAATAATTTTGCATTTAAAAATTAAGATTTACTTACCGTTACTACCAGCGCTACTTTTCTGTCCATATTTGTTATCTGTTATTGATTAAACAAGTAACAATAACACGTAAAAAATAGTTTTCTTAACAAACACTTGAAAATATATGCAATTTGACAGATGATTTCAAGTTCATCACCGCTACGATTACAGCGCCGCAGTGGTCGGCATAAGATTGGATTTGACAATAAGCTTTAAATGCGAGGAAGAAGAAAAAGAAGAAGTTACTTGTCACCGAAAGATGAATTGACAAATCCAACTTAAACTCATGCGCTCCTGGTGGTAAGAATCGGAAACGACCGACGGTGATCAGTCAGTGACAGCTCTTGGAAAATACGTTAAATGTTGCGGAAATTGTGAAGTTTTAGTGCAAAGCCATACAAA